ATGTCTTCTGACAAAGGCAGTATTTGTGGCATATTCCATTTTTTCTGGTAAAGCGTTTTCAGGGCATTGGATGATACATGTGTTGTCCATTCTAGTTCAATTAACTTGTTGAATTACTCTGCTTTTGATTTTAAATCAACATTCTGTTGACGCAGTGCCTCTCCTTGCAAAATATGTGACACTTTCACAAGAGAATGCCGCAGTTTTAGTGCTGTGGAAGGCACTTTGAATCTGTTGGACAACTCATTAAACCCAGTCATCTGTTTTACAGCCTCAAGGACTGTGTTGAATTTTCCTGGACAGATCAAGTCCTTCAAAAAAACAACATCCTTGTCAATGTTTCTTGCCATCAGAACAAGTCTGGCAAGTTCCCTCATCTTATTTCTGATGTCTGCTTGATGTCGTCCAACTTCTCCGTTTCTGAGGTACATTCTCTCACCCAGTGAAATAATAAGGGAGTCTGCCTTTTCTAACTGAGTTACATTGTCATATGACATGTCCTGGAGAACCCTCTGAAGTCCAGTGGAAATCGCAATATCCATGGGCAACATCATGGAAGAACTTGCCTGAACTTTTCTTGTGACCATGTCTCCTTTTGACCGGAGTTTGCAACGCTTATAATGCCTCCAGAGATCTGTCTTGACATACATAGCAAAACAAAACTTGCAAGGTAGGTAGTTGGTTCCAGCTGATTGACGGGTTGCTTGCCTTTTTGGGATGATTAGTCCTTCCCCAGAGGTCAGGACAGAACAGTTGTGCTGATAGTTTCCCATGTTTGCTACTTTGGCCAATAGCAAGGAGTGCATGATGATCCTTTCCTGTGTGCGAGTGCCTTGGCCACATCAGGTTTGTCTGAATGCTTCTGTTTCAGATGTCTTGTAATTTTTGCATAAGGCTTCTCACAGAAAAGACAATAATTCTTCTTGTCATAGATACGTTGATGGGCAGTGTTTGAAGACATTTTTACTGTGATCTTACATTGTTGAGAGTTACTGCCATTTGAGTGCTGCTCAGTTTTAGAAGATGGTTTTCTGTGGATTACTTCAGTTTTTGTAGTTTCTTCTTCCTCCGATTGTGGGTCATCATTCACTTCTTGATCTGAAATTTCCAGAGTAGGGGAAACTTGTTCTTCAGTATTCTGAAAGAAAATGTAGTTTATTTATTAATTACTTTGCAAACAAGATAATGATATCATACATGCATATTTCTTTTATACATTTATAACTATCTTTACCACTACTTAAGTAATTAAACACTTCATTACCATTTCACACTCAGAAAATTCCTCTTCTGTCGGCAGAGATGAAGGCAGCGGGTTACTGACAGTGATGCCAGGCAGATCTGTGACCAAACTCTCTGGAATGTTCATGTCATTAAAGGTTTCAGGGCAGGAATTTGTTGAAGGCGGTCCATCCTGTAATAATAACAACAACAAATAGTGAATACATGTCTGTATCAGGTGACAATAAACATATTTAGGCAGTGGAATACAAAGTAAGACAAAATCTCTACTGTGGAAAAATCTTTAGTCTCTTACAGATAACTAACGTTATATTAGCCTACCCTACTTGAAAGAATTACTTACTTTATTTTGATTCTCACATCCACCGTTGTTCATGGTTGTGTGGCACCCGAGAGGTGCGATTGTCTTAAAAAAACAACAACCATAAAACCAAACAGACTGCGGCGATTGTGAGCAGAGCCTTAAAAAGTTTAATCGGTTAAAATCCAATAAAAAAAAAGATAAAAAGACAAGTTAAAAGGAAAGAGATTAAAAATAAAAATACGGATGGTGAAGAGCAGCAGAGTCAATGGGCGAGTCTGTTAAAGGACGTGCACTTGGCGGGTATAGTGGAGG